AAATTTCCCTATAAATACCAACAATTTTTGTTTTTCATTTCACTTCAGTTGAACCCAGAAAAAAAAAACCATTAGGTGCTCTCCCCTTCCCCCAGCCAACAGTAGGCCGACCGCCTCTAACCAGCATAGGTCGTCGTCTAATCGTCGCACAGGGCGGTCGGAAACACCAAAACGCTCCCAAAAATTCACCAAACCTAGATCTAGCCCCCTAAAGCCTATTTTAAGACCTAAAACACCAAAATCCCCTAAAATTATCCAAAAACCGACCAAAACCGTTTGGTAACCCTGGACTCCGATGACCCTTTTTCAACTCAGGTATACTCCGATCTATTTCCTTTTATTTTTTTATTTTTGTTATTTACTGCCAAAATGGGTTCGTTGGTTGATATTAGATTAGGTCATATTCGGAAAAAAGAGCTCTATTTTTTTTTATTCGAAGCATGCAAAATGTTTGTTTTTTTAGAAAATCTTAGTATATATTTTTTATGAAAAAAATAGAAGCGATAGGGGTTTAACTCGAACTAATTTTTTTTTGATTACTGGGTTTTTGAAATTAGCAACAAATAAAGAACACATATATAAAAAAATTTCGAAATTAAGGAAAAGAAAGAAAAAATAACCTTCAATACTTTATTGCTTTGAACCAGAGTACAACATCTCTTTTTGGAGGGATTTTTGAACCCTTTTTTACAGATTAATTATTGGGTTAAATAGGCATTTATATCTGAAAAAATATCATTGCTATTTTGTTTTTTATTTTGCAGGGGCTTGAATTGTTTGCTGCTGGTGTGCTTGATGGCTTTGCCGAGAATGGTGCAGAGCGGGGTGGCTGCTCGTTGGGCAGAGAAGGGTGCACTTTGATTGGCGGTGTTCGGGCGACTATATAGCTAGGTTAGGGTAGACCCGGGTCGGGTCGAATCTGATTGAGCCCGGATCGGGTTCTATTTGAGGTTGGATTAATTTGGTTTTGGGGTTTGGGCTTGGGCTTGGTTGGGTTTGGGTCATATTTTGTAAGGATTTGGGCTTTAATTGTAAAAGGGGGTTTCTTAGTTGGGTTTGGGGTGTAAATTAAAATGGTGCTCACATACCTTATATTTTTCTCGTATTACATTAATTTAAAATTAAAATATTTTTCATCTAATATAAAAGTTTTCAACACTAAGAATTGATTGATAAGTCAACATTTTGGGAAACCAAATGACTTAATTTGATTTCAAGGTTAAGGGAGAAAAAATGTTGTCCGAAGTTAAATTTAAATCTTAATTTTAATTAAGATTGAAGTGATGTTGTCTTTCATTAGACCGTCAATTTGATTAATTAGATTTTAATATTGAATATATACATGCTAATTTTAAATGTAAAATAATATCTAATCCTTAAATTTAACAAAAATTGTTAAATTGATCTCAATTTTTTTTAACATATTAATCTGAAAACTTGTCAACTTCTCCTGCAAAAGAAAAAAAATAATATCTAAATGTATCAATTGATAATTAGTCCATATTATATTTATTGGTTAATTCTTAAATACCTACATTTTATTTTTCTTAAATGCGCACAATTTTTCACTCAAAAATAAAAAATTAAACAATTTTAACTCCAGAAATAGGATATTTGATTATACATATTTAAGAAAATGGATGTTTGTGTGAGCACTAAAACGACCACAAAAATATACGAAAAACGTACCAAAAGCAAGGATCGTGACACAAGAGCAGATAAAATTGGTACTACAAGAACAGAGAAAAATGTGTCACAAAGACAGATTTTTATTTAAAATTAAAAAAAAATTCAAGGAAAAAACAAAAACAAAGAACTAATAAACATCAATGATCGACAACTAATATTAAGATTAATATTGTCGTCGGCTAAAAAAATAAAAAAAAAGAAAGAGAGATGCGCTACAAAAAGATTGTCAAGAAAATCTAGGTTAAAAAAATATAGAAGGCGGCTTTACGGTGAAAGAAATAAAATGTTTAGTCTTTTATTTTAAAATTTATATTTTATTTGGATAAATTATTTTTAAGTTATTTTTATTTAAAAATATTAAGCATTTCATATTTTATTTTATCATTAGTTGTTGGATTGACTGTAAAAAAAATAAATATAGATTATTGAAAATTATATCATTCAGTTAATTATAATTTTTAAGACTAAATATAAAATTGATAAAAGAATTTATTATTTTTTATAATTATCAGAACAATAATTAATAATAAAATTGAATAGAAATTAGAAGATGAACTGATATTTTAAAATAAAAATAATATAAAATTTCAACTTTATAAAAAATATAAAATTTAAATAATACAAAAACCATACATTATTTTTTATAATTTGGGTTAAGTACAAAGTCATATTTGTTTAAAGATAACCCTCAACTATTTCACATTAAATGCTCACACCCTTAGCATTCCTGGTACTCGAACTTAGAACCTCAAAATATAACAACAATCTTTTTATCACCAAAATCGTTTGATTCATGCCAAAAATCATACATTTAAATCAAACACTAACAAATATGCATAATTTCATAATACTTTAAAAGTTTAGGTCCAGTTCTGCTTTCGGTCCATGTGATCTACATTAAAATTTTAAATTCTATTAAAAAATAGTTTTTTATACTTTTAGGCTTCATATTAAAAAATTATTTAAATTATACGTCATTTCTCTAGGTGCTTAAATTATTTTTTGATTAATGTAAGTGTCTAACATTATCAATGTTATCATTATAGGTGTCTGATCTATTACGACTGTTAAAAATTCCGTTATTTGACACATATAGCGTTTATATTTTTTTTTGGAAAATTGTATTTAATTTTTTAAAAATGTTATTTAAAAGAAAGTCCCAATTCTAATAAACCATTCATCACCTTTCACCTACTCACCGGCTATCACTAATTTCACTATTGTCGTTACCTCAAATTCTTAAATTTCTAAATCTCTGAACTTAAATCCTTAAAATCCTAAGTATTTCATCTCTAAACCCTAATTAATAATGATCGCGTTTATATTTTCCCCACATTCTCCCACTTGCATGCTTGCTTTTCTATTTTGGTTTGTTGTAAGTGGCAGAGATTTTGGCCAGTCGGGGACGCTGATGGTAGTCAATCAACGACATTGATGATGCCTGACAATAATAAGGGATTGAGATTATGAATTTGATTTTTTGAGATTTTAGATTTATTTTAAGTAATAATATTTTTAAGACGGTTATAATATTTTCTAACGATTATAATGGATTAAACATTTAAATTTGTAACGTCAGAAACGTTATACCTACATTAAGTGAAAAAATTTAAGCACCTAGATAGAGAAATAGATATAATTTGATATTTTTATATTAAACCAGCTTTCTAATCTCAATATTTTAATCTTTCTACTCTTTTAATTTAATAATTAAAGTTGAATTGATAATTTGATAAAAGAAACTTTTGTTAGATTGAATCATGTAAAATTATTCATATAACGAATATTACATTCGTAGAAAGCCAAAAATAAAATAAATAAATAAAAACTGAATCTGGACTGTAAAGTTCTTGGACACTATTTTTAAGACATACGGGAATTTGATACTCTTTTCCTTGCATGGCTTTAACGTAGCTTTATATAATTTTTTTAACATTACATTATCCAATTTACGAAAGTATTTTTAAGAATATTATTAATCGGGTTTGAATGGTTCATTTTTAAATAGTCTTAGACGATTATGAGATAATTTATGTTTATTTTGTTTTAATTTATTGATAATTTACACACCCTTATAAAATCATCTATTTGAACTCAAATTATAGAAAAAGAATAATATTTTATTTCACCATTAAAGTCATTTAATGAGTTTCGGATTTCAATTACTAAATCAAATTAGGTTAAAGTATACAAATGGTCCTCCGACTATAGGACGATATTTTATTGAGTCCATAGACTATTAAAAGCTACAAATGATCCATCGATTATAAATTGTTGCTTTGTTGAGTCACACGATTATTAAAAGTTACAAATTGTTCAATCAACTATTCATATGTTCCAAACTTATCATTTTTTGTTAAAAATTGAAATCGATGTGAGCTAGACGTTAACCCGTTGACTAGGATATGATAGTCGTTTGAGATTTTACGATTATATTTTATCATATCACAGTCATCAGGTTAACGTTCAGCTCAAATTGCCATCAATTTTAACATAAAGGACGAGTTTGGAACATATGAATTGTCGGGTTACTTTTAATTGTCGAGGGACTCAACAAAACAATACCCTATAGTCAGGGATTATTTCATAACTTTTAATAGCATGGGGAGTCAACAAAATAATATCTTATAGTCGGAGGACCGTTTGTGTACTTTATCTGTCAAAGTAATATAGGGATTGAATTTTTAAAATTAAAAGAATTAAATTTCAAAAGTACAAAGAGTATAGAGACTAAAAAAACCATTATACCAAAATTATAGCTCTATTTTCCTTTCCCGTTGCGGTTAATTTCATACCGGTTCAACTTTTGGTCTTTAAACAGAAGCCGACAAAAGCAAATTCACATGAAAAATAACCAGAAACCCAAAACGAAAAAGAAAATAAAAAAGCTAAAAAAAAGTAGAAGTGTAGTATTTTTCATTCCCTATTGCGTCTTTCAAGTTGTTGGTTCAAATATTATTCTATTTACCACAAAATTCCAACTCATATACCATCTTCCAAGTTGTTGTAGAGTTTGGGGACTCCAAGAATATAGAGAGAAAAACTGAAAGGGAAGGTTAACACGCATTGGGGGGGGGGGAGTATTTGGACTATTCAGAGGGAAAAGAAGGAAAGTATTTGCCACCAAAAAAACTTAGAACTTTCTTTTGGGACCTTGAAAAATCCTTGTTGGCTGTTGCCTCTATAAATCAAGTGGGTCATATTTTGTTTTTTTTTGGGGAGGTCCTACAATCCCACTTGTTGATCTTTGCTGCTTCTCTCTATGCCCTTAGTTTAGTGTTTACCTTCATTTGTTGTTAAATATTTTTTCCCAAACTACTCCCTTTTATATGCTTTCTTATCTAATTCTATATCCCAACAGAAAGACCCATTCTTTTTCTTAATCTGGGTGTGGAAATTTTTTGTTGCTTTTTTGGGTTGTTGGAGGTGAATGAAACTGTTGGTTCTTTGTATGCTGTTGAACTCTTTTATTTTTGCTGGATTTCGTTGTAAAGGAGGGTTTTTTCTTTGAACTGAAACATCTGGGTCCTTCTGATATTTGACCAACTTTGCTGGGCATCGCTTTGAAATTATGGTGGTTTTGGGGCTTGGATTTGACGAGTTGATCTTTTGGATAGCTTGAGAGTTGGAAGGTAATTTGGAAAAAAAGAAGGGTTTTTTTTTCCATTTTATTTTATAGTTTGTTTTTGGATTTGTTTGAACCTAGATTTCAATTCATGCTTGGTCCAAGACAATGGAGATGTTTATGGCCAGATTTTTACTTCTTTAGCATTGGATGCTATGTCTTGGTGAAATAATATGAAGAATCTTCTCAAGAAACTGCATATGATGTCTAATCAATCGGATGATGTAGAAGGGTCAACTGCATCAAAAGGCAACAAGTCCAGTGATGTATCGTCATCTTCAACTGATAAGGCCCTGCAGTCAAAGCCTCATCATAGTCCTGATAACAATAAACCATTGTCTGTACTTTCCAATTGGTTAAATTCAGTTGCTAATAGAAAAGGTCCTAGGTCGCCATCTTCTTCAAACGTGAAAAGGGAGGAAAGTATGGAACCGACTGATTTAGTTAGTACTAGTGGCTTAGAGGCTGCCTTGGACGCAGTAAGGCGCGATTCAGGATCTAGTAACTCAAGGAATCCTGATATAGAAGAGGAGTATCAGATACAATTGGCCCTGGAGTTGAGTGCCAGGGAGGATCCCGAGGCGGTTCAAATTGAGGCTGTTAAGCAAATTAGTTTAGGCTCTTGTGATCCGGAGAATACTCCAGCTGAAGTTGTTGCTTTTAGATATTGGGTATGTTTCCATCTTCATTCCCCTGTTTAATCCATTTAGCTTTCTTTTTGTTCTCCTTCTTAGTACTTGCTAAAGTCTTAATTGGAATCTTTGAGTTTAATGCTTGATTTTTTACTTCCTTTCCATTGTGCTGTGTGTGATTTGTGAATCCTTCTCATTTTCATTCCGCTTTTAACGATTCTTGTCTGTCAGTTAATCTTATTCGACTTGGATTTGTCCCCTTTTTATCTAGCCTCATGTTTATTTAAATCTTTGTCTGACATTATGTTCTTTTAAGTTTTAAGTCCATAAGTTCATCCATTTATTTCTTATAATCAGCTAACTTCGTCAGCAACTGAAATTATCTTTTAAATAGAGCTCTTTTGTACTTCCACCCCAGTCTTCATATTTCTAGAATAGAAGTTTATCCTTGCTGTTTCTTAGTTGAATGGCCATTATAGAAATACTAAATTGTATTAGTAAGCTCATGGGTTCTTTCAATTCATTGACAAACACATGTTTTGAGCCTTTTACTGTAATGATCTGGTTTATGATTTACACTAAGCTCATGAACTTGCTTATTCTGTGGATTTTCCTAACATGCATTCATTTGAGAAATTAATTATCACAATGGAAGTATTTCATTGTCTTAAAAGTTTCTAGGTTCGAGTAGAAGTGACATTTGGGTGGGTTGGGCAATTAGGGGCTTGAATGATATTTGGGTCATTTTGGTTTCTATTTGCTTAAGATTTTAGTAATTTTGGGTTTGGAATTTCGGATTTGATATTTATATAAAAGTGTTATTATTACTCAATCTAAGGGTGGGATTGGTCATTTTGATTACTGGTCATTATGTCCCATGGGGTTTTTAGGTTTATGTTAGCTTTGCAGGTTCTGATTCAAGCATATATTACATGGTGAAATGCTCTAGGTTATCAGATTATGTTTAAGAAAAGAATAATAAAAAGTTATGGCTAATATCGGTAATGTGTCATTTTGGACTTTCTGAATATCTACACATTTGCTAGATTCCTCCCCACTGCCGTGTTAGCTTTCTAGGGTTTATTTGCTATAGTTTATTCCCTGCTAACCCAGCTCATATCGTAGATTTGTCCGTGCTTCACAGAATTATAATTCTCTTGATTATGATGACAAGATCCTGGATGGCTTTTATGACCTGTATGGAGTTCTAACTGAACCCACTTCAGAAAGAATGCCTTCACTTCTTGATCTGCAAGGGGCATCGGTGTCAGACAATGTCTCTTGGGAAGCAGTTTTGGTCAATAGGGCTTTTGATGCAAATTTGATGAAACTTGAACTAAAAACACTAGATATGACAGTGAAGTTAAGATCAGAATCTTTGGCTTCTGTAAGCAGCAACCTGATGCAAAAACTTGCGGTTCTAGTTTCTGACTATATGGGTGGACCAGTTGCTGATCCTGAAAACATGTCCCGAGCCTGGCGAAGTCTTAGTTACAGTTTAAAAGCTACCCTTGGCAGCATGGTTTTGCCACTTGGATCTTTAACGATTGGGTTGGCTCGTCATCGTGCATTGCTATTCAAGGTATTTGCGCTCTTTGTTTTTCTTTTGATTTAGGTGTTTACAGCCTGACAACTGTATTTCTAAAGATTTACTGGAACAATGAAAAGAAGAAGATTCCATACAGCAAATGCCATGTTGGAATTAACTACCAGAACGAATATAATAAATGAACATAAACGAACACAATAAACGAACATAAACAAACAACACAAACACAAAAAACAAACTTATTCGAACACAACAAATTAATGTAAAAAGAGTAAACAACAAGAATAACAACTTAAAATTCATTAATATAACCTATAACTTTAGAGTTAATTTGTTCGAATACGAAAAAAACGTACATAAATCATAAATAAGCTATATGAGCATAATAAAGTCTTAAAGTTAATTTGTTCAACAAAACAATCTTCTTGAAATCCAAACTTCAATAATCTTCGTAACATATTAAATTTGCCCTCTGTTCGAACATAAATGAACATAAATGAACGAACATAAACGAACATATAATCGAACGTTCATGAACGTAAATGAACAAACGAGCCCTTTGTTCATGTTCGTTCATTTAATTAAATGAACGCAAAATCTTGTTCATGTTCGTTCATTTAATAAATAATCGAACATAAACGAACTTCCAGCCGCATGATTCATGAACGATTCACTGAACGTTCAGTTCATTTTTCAGTGTAATTGATAGTTTATTCAAAATTTCCAGTACAACATGGTTTTGAGAAGTGACGGCAAATAATGATTTCAAAATGACCCTCTAGGAATATCATTCTTTCCTATGCGTGTTAAATATTTTTTGTTTGCTTGATGCTCTTCATTGTTTCCTTTTTCCTACCCATAAAACTTCTGTCTCATTTATATTGCTTATTTAGTTTAGGTCATGTACAATGGGTACCCAACTCTTGCACATACTTCTTGATTCTTGCCTTAGGAAGTACATTTTTCATAGTAATTTGATTTCATGGTTTGATTGTAATGATCTTTGAGGAATTCTCCACTATCAATAATGGTTATTTCTTTGTGTTTGCATAGGTTTTGGCTGATACTGCTGGTATTCCTTGCCGATTGGTTAAGGGGCAGCAATACACAGGTTCTGACGATGTAGCAATAAATTTTGTAAAGATTGGTGATGGAAGGTGATTTCTGTTATGGTGTATATTTTTTTTCTCTTAAAAATAACTTATCTGAATTACTTAGTTTTTTTTTTTGCTTGCAATGGAATATATTGTATTATTTATTAAGTATGCGATGCCGCGACTGTTAATTGTTTCATTTGATCAAATATTTTTCTTTTGTTTAATTATGTTCTTTACTAACTTCTATACAAACCTGTACGTATTTTATATATATTTCTCTATTTTAGAATTTGCATTGTGGTTCTTCAAAAGATGCGTGACAAGATTCTTTTTAGGCTAGTAGTGCATCTAGGTTTGAAAATTGTCGATATAGATTGCAAAAGCTTAGCTATTTATCTAAGTGATCCGTATATTTTTCAGCGAATACATTGTTGACCTAATGGCCGATCCTGGAACACTTATTCCTTCTGATGTAGCTGGATCGCATGTGGAATATGCTGATTCTTTCTTTTCCACCAGTCCTTTGTCCAGAGACATTGATTCATCTCATATGGCCTCTTCTAGTAGTGGGATTGGGAGTTCATTTGAAGACAATTCAGAGTTTGGGACAGCTGAGAGGAGATCCAGGTTAAAAAAATTTGCTACTGGAGGAAACCAATCTGATGAAAGAGGTGATTTTAATGCTTTTGCAGATTTATCTGGGGCAACTAGCAGTCTGGAGCAAACTAAGGAACCCATAGAAGACCTTAAAACCCCTTACATGGAGAAGCAACCTGTGCGAGAACTTCCTAACAGACCTACTCATGCACATGCAAGATCTCCTTCCTGGACAGAAGGTATTAGCTCTCCTGCTGTGCGTAGGATGAAGGTGAAAGATGTCTCGCAGTACATGCTTGATGCTGCCAAGGAGAATCCACAGTTAGCTCAAAAACTTCATGATGTTTTACTTGAGAGTGGTGTCGTTGCTCCCCCTAACTTATTCACCGAGGCTTATTCCGAGCAGTTAGACAGATCAATTGTTGAAGTCAGGTTGGCAGCTGAGACTAAAGATGGAAACATACAGAGCACTGGACCTCTCGAAGGTAAGAATCAAGATGATTTTGGGCCCTCTCATCGCTTGCCTCCTCTACCCCATCGCAAAGTATATGTCAAAGCAAGCTCTCCTCATAACCAACCTGAGCATCTTAAACCCAGGGAAGGCCTAAGGGTCTCTTATCCATTGGATGCCAGGGAATCCATTGGAACACCTGTGTCATTACAAGTTGATGCAGCTCCTATTCAATATTCTAGAAATATCCCAGTTGCTGCTGCAGCAGCAGCTGCTGCTGCTGTTGTTGCGTCTTCAATGGTAGTTGCTGCAGCAAAGTCTTGCACTGATTCAAATGTTGAACTTCCATTAGCTGCTGCTGCTACTGCTACTGCTACGGCTGCTGCTGTGGTGGCAACTAGTGCAGCTGTGAATAAGCATAATGATGTAGTTGCTGATTTAGCTGGCAGTGAGCCACAAGGTAGTGGTGAAAGGGAACATGATGTTTTGGGGGTCAACTCAGAAGGTGAGAGAATATCAGATAGATCAGCTGGTAATGATAGTTCAAAGTCAGATGTTGCACTTGAAGATATTGCAGATTGTGAGATTCCATGGGAGGAAATCATGTTGGGAGAGCGCATTGGACTTGGTATTGACCTCTCCATTAGCTATTTTGATTCTAGATTGTTTTCAATTAATGTGATATATCATCATTATTTTGGTGCATCCTTTATGTTGCAGGCTCATATGGTGAGGTTCATCGTGGAGAATGGCATGGAACTGTGAGTTTTCTCCTGCTTAGCTTTTGTCTAATGTCATCTCTGGGTCTGAACAATTTAATTTATGTTTTCCCTTTCATTGAGAAGCATTAAGGGTGTTCTACTATAATATAGAAAGTATGATTTTGTATCATGCTTATTGGCTGGTAAGTCAACTTGGATGATGTGCAATAACCTTTTTGGGTGTAAGCTACAAAATATAAGCTGCTAATGTGGCTTAAAGAATACATGGCACTTTACTGGAAAGTTTGGCTTGAAGACAATTATGACCATTGAAATGAAAATTTTAATTAAATTTACATAAAAGAGTGTTGCAAGACACTATTTGTAGAGCTTTGTGATGGTAAAAAGAGTTACGTATAGCTTAAGATGGATGAATCTTACAATTTCAAGCCCTTTTTAACCTTTTTTTTTATAAGAAAGGAATGCCTCGTTAAAAACCCCCTTCATAACCGTCAAAAACACTAAAGTTCTTGGGAAACCCCCTTCATATCAGTGGCTGGGGAGATTTGGATTAAGTTTTTCAGAATTTGGGATGTTTGTACAGCTTTGCCTCGTGATATTCCTTCCCTCATTAGTTATTGGCCTGATTTGGTGGCGAAATCAACAATTTGGAAATTTATTCCAGGTGTGGTCCATTGGTCTATATGGAAACATAGGAATTCAATTGTTTTTGAGAATAAGGTATTGGACAAGTCGTCCCTCTTCTTCATTGTCAGATTTAGATTAGCCAAGTGGTTTTTAGCCAAGTTTTATCAAGTGTCGATTTCGGTGGGCTCATTAATGGCTGATCCATCTTTAGCAGATGGTATCAAGTGTTCAAAGTTGTCGAATAGAGTTGTACATAAATGGCTCACTCCTCCTGCTGATTTTTATAAGTTTAATGTTGATGGTGTTGTTAGAAGAGATGGAATGGCTGGTGGCATGGGGGTATTCTTAAAAATTCAAATGGCTTTGTTCTAGCATCGTTTACAGAGAGTGTTGGACTTGGTCCTCCCCCACTAGCAGAGTTGAAGGCTATTAGAAAAGCCACTGAATTTTTTTATTCCTCAGTTTGGTCTACTAAAGGTAGGTTGATTCTGGAATGTGACTGCAAAATAACCGTGGAATGGATCCAGTCGCCTTGTCTTGCCCCTGTGTTCTTTAGTAATTTAATTAAGGAGATTGAGTCTTATGTATTGTCTAGGGCGTTGTTAGTGAAGTTAATTCCTAGGGTTTGTAATTGGGAGGCTGATAAGTTAGCTAAAGAAAGGATCGGGTGATTATCAGCTGTTATATAGGCTGTTCCTGCATCTTTTGAGGACAACCTTTTCTGATGTTATGTGAAGGTTTTATGTTGTAATTATGAAATATCAATAAAATGAGGTACTCTTTTCCTCCTTTCGCTAGTTGTCCCTTTCCTTTTGGTAAGAGTCAACTATGAAGGGGTTTTTTAATGAGACCTCATACTTTTATAAAAAAAACACTAAAGTTTTTCGACGGACATTGGAAGGAGGAAAAGAGTGCCTCAAAATTTTATTACCAACCAATAACACAGTACAAGATAACCATTACAACAACAACACCTAACATCGGAAGAAACCTCCTAGAAAAACCAAAAAAACACAAGTTCATCCAATTCCTATCTTAGCTAATTCATCTACTTTTCAATTCACAACTCTACTAAAATGTTTTACAATAACATTCCTATCTACTACCAAAGACCCAATTTCCTTCACTAGCGAACTAAATAACATAGGATAAGAACTCGAAAATTTGATCCAGTCTACCGCTTTACTGCAATCGCTCTCCAAAATAAGTTTTCCCCTTGAGCTCCAATTCGAATTCATGAAGAATAATATACCGGCTTTGATAGCCAACAGTTCGACCAAAATTGGAGGGCTCGAACCAACACTCAGAAAATGTCCCCAACACCGAACCATCTTCATCCCTTAGTAAACCATCTATTCCCCCTTTATTCCAAAACTTATCCACAGCTCCATCCACATTTATCTTGAAGAAACCCTTAGGAGGGGGACACCAAGATAGCGAGGTAGTGTCGGTTTTAATGCCACACACCCATGAATCAGCTAGACCTGGATTACCCACAAGACAATTGAAAAGAATAAGGACAACAAGAAATTTCGCCAAGAACCAAGAAACCAGTCTGTACCTTGTTAGGAAGAACATCATTGTGTTGTCTAGCTTTTTACCTTCAAAAATTATCTCATTCCTATACTTCCAGATCGACCATAATATTGCTCCTAGAATAAACTCCCAAATTTTCGAATGAGGCACCAGCTTCCTCCAAACTGAAAATAGAGCATCAGGACTTTCTGGAACAGCAAAAGGGATATCCCACATCATCAAAAAAAAATATACCATAATTTCTAAACTACCGAGAACGCCACAAACAAGTAAGAAACCGTTTCCAGAGTTGAACAGGATAGGGGCACAGGTTGTACACAATCCCATTAACTCCACGTTTCAGTAGCTCAACTTTAACTCCTACCTTCATCTGCAACATCTTCCAGAAAAAAACTTTCACCCGAGGAGGGGCCACCCTAAGCCATACAAGATTTGACCAATCTAACTCCACATTCTCTTTCTCATTTAGTAATTTTAAACAAGATCTAACTGAATATACGCCCTGACCATTTCCTGTCCACATAGAGGTGTCTTCCAACGAAGCATCAACATAAAACTTGCAGAGAGTAGAATTAAATTCAAGCCAAAGCTCCAACCACCAATCCACAAGGTTTCTCCTCACCTGGATGTCTCAAAACCAACCTGCCTGACTTTGTTTTCTGAAATAAAAAATTCTTCCCCATTTGTTAACCAAAAGAGCATACAACCTTGGATATCGGTCTTTTAAAGGCACGCTCCCCACCCAAACATCATGCCAAAAGAGTATAGCATCCCCTTTCCCAACTTTTAAACGCAAATGCTTTCTAATACAATCCCCAAAATCATCCTTAGCCAAGCAATTTTTGACTACCTCTGTCCAAATCCAAGAAGCTTTAGGAAAACCCCTTCTCTCGATTGAAATGTTCCTTCGATCCACACCGTTCTTGCAGTAAATCACCCTTTTCCACCACGACCTAGATTCAGTTACAAATCTCCACGACCATTTACCCAGGGGCGATTTATTCAATAAATTAAGATCAATAATCCCTAAACCGCCTAGCTCCTTAGGTTTACAAACAGACGACCAATTGACCCAATGGATCTTTCTCTTATCATTCGAATCTCCCCGCAAAAAATTCTCCATAATCGAATTCAACCTAGAAAGGACACAAGACGACAACTTGAAAATAGACAAAATAAATAGGCAATGAACATAAAACCGATTTAATCAATACCACCCTCCCTGCAAGAGAAAGGGAAGTTGTTTTCCAACTTGAAAGCTACTTATAAAACCCCTGAATAACCGGTTCCCATAAAGCCACCAAACTCTTCCTCGCTCCAAGGGGAAGCCCTAAATATTATGACAAAAGAGAACCCACTGAACAACCAATCGAATCAGCCCACTCTTTCAAAGTAGTATCTTCCGCATTAATACCAAAATTTTTGCTTTTAGACAAGTTTAACTGCAACCCAGACATCAACTCAAACAAGAAGAGAACCCTAAACACATTCTTTAATTCCCCACCCTATGCATTATAGAAAATGTTAAGATCGTTAGCAAATTGTAGATGTAACAACATAAAGGAATTATTCGAGTTGCCAATCTTGAAATCCCTAAAAAGTCCAACGTTTACCGCCTTAGTCAACATTAAACTCAATGCCTCTCCAACCAAATTGAATAATAACGGGGACAATGAACAACCTTGACGAAGACCTCGAGCAATCAAAAACTCCTCCGAGGGGGACTCATTCACTAAAATAGAGATAAATGCCGAAGATATACAATATTCTATCCAAGAACACCACCTTTACCCGAAACCCATATATTCCATTGTTTTCAATAAGAACTTCAAATTTACCAAATCATAAGCTCTTTAGAAATCAACCTTAAAAACAATACCTTTTCGACCTTTCTTTCTCTTGTAGTCGATTCCTTCATTTGCAATTAGTGAACAATCCAATATTTGCCTTTCTGGAATAAAAGAAAATTGAGAAGGACCAATTAACAAATCGATGCACTCCTTTAACCTTCTCGACAGCACCTTGGTTAAAATTTTGTAAAGCCCTCCGACCAAACTGATAGGCCTGTAGTCTTCCACCCTAGCTGAAATTGTCTTCTTGGGGATGAGGGTTATAAAGGAATGGTTAACCCCTTTTTCCCAGAAAAAATCTTTAAAAAAACTTACAATGCCATCTTTTAGTTGTGGCCAAAACTTCTTAAAAAAACCCATATTCAATCCAGGAGCTTTATTGTTGTCGGTAGATGCAATAGCTTCCCAAATTTCTTCCTTTGAAAATTGTTTCTCCAAACAAGAGCTTTGCGCCTCGGACAATTTAGAGAAATTTAAGTCCATATCTTCCACCTCAGTCGTATTATCCAGATTATACGCCTTTTTAAAAAAATCCACCACACAATCTTTTATTTTCCCAGGGTTTGAAATCCACTCATCACCAACCTTCAAAGATTTTATAAAATTCAATCTCCCTCTATTCGCCGCACTGATGAAAAAATCTAGAATTTGTCACCCTCCAAAAACCACTTGACTTTAGACTTTTGAAACCAAATCTGCTCTTCTTGCCTATATAACTTCCAAAGCTCCTTCCTAGCATTAGCAACGTCTTCGATTGTAAATGTGAAGGGCCCCTATATAACGTCAATTCCATATCGTGGAATTAAGCTAGGCAACTCAAGATGCCTACTTCTCGACCACCTTTTTATAGCTTCTTTAGACCCTTTCAACACACTGAAAATTCTTTTCTTCCTACCTCTTTTTTGAAGCTTCTTCAGTTCTTGTTCTATCATTTCTTTAAAACCGGCTTCATCCATCAGATAGTTGAATAGTCTAAAAGGCTTGGGTCCTTAATTCACCCTGCTGTTCTCCAGGAAAATGGTGTTA